AATACAAATCAAAACCACATTGAGATATCATCTCACCCCTGTTAGACTGGCTATTATAAAAAAGACTGAGAATGACAAATGCTGGCAAGGACAAGGAGGAAGGGGAACCCTCCTATACTGTTGGTGGGACTGTAAATTAGCACAGCCATTATGGAAAACAATATGAAGTTTTCTCAAACAACTACAGGTAGAACTACCATACGATCCAGCAATCCCACCACTGTATATATACCTGAAGGAATGGACATTATCGTGTCAAAGGGACACCTGTACTCCCATGTTCATTGCAGCTCTATTTTCAATAGTGAAGATATGAAACCAACTTAAATGTCCATTGACAGATGACTGGATAAGGAAAATGTGGTATATATACACAATGGAATACTATTCTGCCATAAAAAGGAATGAAGTTCTACCATTTGCACAAACATGGATGAGCTTTGAGAAAATTATGTTAAGTGAAATAAGCCAGGCACAGAAAGAGAAATACCACATGTCCTCACTCATAAGTGGGAGCCAAGAGACAAAGAAAGAAAGACCATAACAATACGTTGAACTTTCAGAAGGAGACAACAGACGTATGGTTACTAGAGGTGGGAAAGAGGGAGGAGGAGATTGCTAAGATAGAAATTGGGTAAGGGACACAAAGAATCATCATGATTTGCAACGATGAACATGCTAATATTGATTCGATCATCACATATTGTACACAAATACTGATAGTTAACTCTGTACCCACATATTGTACACAAATACTGATAGTTAACTCTGTACCCCACAAAGATGTATAATCAATTATGTTTCAGTTAAAAAGCAAATTAAGGGCCGGCCCTGTGGCGCACCACTTCAGCGCGCCGCTTGGGAGCACGGCGGCGCTCCCGCCAAGGGTTCGGATCCCACATACAGACCGGTTCCCGCTCACTGGCTGAGAGAGGTGTGGGTGCAACACCGAGGGTTGCGATCCCGTTGCTGGTCCCGGTCCGGTACGGGCGTGACACTGAGGGTTGCGATCCATTGCCGGACACGAAAAAAGACAAAAAGGAAAAAAATAATAATAAATAAATAAATAAATAAATAAAAAGCAAATTAAAAAAATAAAAGACAGTATCAAAATAAAGCGATTTACTGTGGCATGGTTAAAGGCCCTTGACAAAAACTTGGTTATTTACATGGCCTACAACAAGTTTTCATAATAGCCATAATTATGATTCACATAATTACACCAAGACATAGCAGAATTTTAGGAATTCTACCCAATTTTGGAATCCATATTAATAATACATTTACATAAATATAAAGTTACATATCAAAAAAATCCGTATATTTTTAACTGTTTCCCTAAGTAATCCAAAGACCTAATAAAGACATACTATTTGTTTCTCATTGTTCTGTAGTTTACTTAAAAGGTGAACACAAGTCTTTTACCATTTTTATTAATATTACTTGAAAATCTTGTTTAAAAGAGAAAACTTTACGCTGAGTGAAAAAGCCAACCTGAAAGGTTATGTACTGTATGTTCCCATTTATATACTATTCCTGAAATGAAAAAATATATAAAAATGGAGAACAGGTAAGTGGTTGCCAGGGGTAAGAGACTGGGGATGAGGTAGGGAGGGGGCTAGGTGGCTGTGGATGGCAAGAGGAATCCTTGCAATCAAACTATCTGCACCTTGAATGTGGTGGTGATCACAGGAATCTACATATGCAATAAGATTTGTAGAACTAAATACACACACACACACACACACACAACTGCACGTTTTCAAAACTGGTAAATTCTGAATAAGGTTAATGGAATGTCTCAATGTCAACTTCCTAGTTGTGATTTTATACTTTAGCTAAGCAAGATGTTACCATTGGGGGATACTGAGGAACGGATATGCAGGACGTCTCTGTATTATATCTTACAACTGGATGTGAATCTATAATTATCTGAAAATTAAAAATGTGGTTTTTTAATAATAAAAATTTTCAGAAAAGGGGATGTTATATCCACTTGAGGAAGTCAAGAAAGGCTTCATGCAGGAGGCAACATTTGAACTAGACTGTAGATCTTGATATAATCCAATCATTCTATGGTTAATAAGGTTTATCATTTTTCAAAATTGAGGTGTAAAATTAGAATAAAACCTCACATTGAAAGACTACCTTATCAAGTACGTTTTGGGATAATCCCAATAAAACTTTTTGTGGAATCAGAATTAAACAAGAAACGAGAACATTCTAAGTATCTCTTAATCTAATTATCTCTTCATTTCAAAAAAAATTATTCTATTACGATTAAGCACTATATTGTTTAAAATAAGGCTATAGTTTCATTACAGCAACAGTTATAATAACTACCATTTCTTAAGCACCTATTATGTTCCAAAAACTATGCCACGCACTTTTTGAACATTATCTTGGTTTTATTCCAACAACAATCATTTGAGTAAATATTATCTCTGTCTTAAAGGAAAGTAAATTGAAGCTTAGAATATTTAAATAACTAGTTTAAGTCACACAGTTATTGTAAAATCTGAGATTATTTTAAAAAACCAATGTATAAATAATAATGAAACTATGTTTTCTGCAATTGTGCAAAAATAAAAGCTGTTCAACAAGATTTATTGAAAGATTATTATATAAAGAGCACTTTACTAGGTACTCTTTACTGGAAAGAGAAATAAAAGATGTAGATGAGGAACTGACTGTTCTCTTGTACAATTAATAAATATTACAGTCATGTCTTTTTAACCTTCTCCAATGAAATGGTTAACACAGACATGCCCAAGAATTCTGAAACTGTTTATACATTATTTTTCAGAAGAAGTTACCATTTTAAAAACATAATACTGTAGTATCTATCTCTCTATGAACATAAAGGTTGAGCTATTGCTCATATATTCATTGTTACCCAAACCTTTATTTTTCAAATCTTTTTAGAAGGAAATATCAAATATATTTCTTTGAGAAATATGATGCCATGGTAAAATTAAACTTACAAAACTTCTCTTTAATGTAAATCCCTCCAAGTTTGTTTGTAGAGAGTTTCTCAAATCCTGTATCATAAATTTTATTTTAGTTCAGAATCTAACCTCCAGAAATCTGCAAAATACCAATAATAATGCCAATAAATATGAATTAATTTCTAAATGAATTTACAAAGATGAATTGTATTCTTTTGCTTTTGCAAGAGCCTAGTACAGAATTTTGACTAAGTTTTCATTATCACGTGAAGGTCCAGACATCCTTCTTGAATCCAGAGGCCCTTCTTCATCTTCCTACAACTTGGGGGTGCCACCTAGAGGCCCAATTACAAAATATACTAAAACAGGAGAGGTCAATTTTCAATAGAACACTGAGAATAATTTACTTTGAAATGTATTTATATCTTTGTTTAAAATCCAATATTTTTCCAAATTTTGTTTCCCCCCCCCAAATATTTCATTAAATGAAACAAAAACAGTTTATGCAAAATATCTAACACTGTTAACTCATGTCAGTTTTCATATTTTATTTTAGCCAGTTACCTAAATTTTATCAGTTCCTGTGCCAATTTAATTCATGTGAATAAAAGTCAAACTTTTCCTGTTAATATTGGTTTTCAAAGTGGTTCTTGTACAATATAGAACTTGAATGAGGAGCTGTATACAATGAGAAAAGAGCAACCAAAAGACTCTGAGAAATCTCACCATCAACATGCCATCTGTCCTGACACCAATCCTAACTTCATTATGGACTAAATCACTTGCCTGTTGTGTCTCTAACAGCTCAGTAATAATTTAACAAAACTGAAATCATGAAGGTGACCCATATCAGCCTTTTACCCTTTGGTTTTGTATCCAGGCAGTTAGCACTTCAGTACCATGACAGCTGCAGCAGGGAGGCAGCTTCCATGATATCTTCCCTATGTCTTCCCATCTCAGCCCGGATGAGTCTAACAGACCCACTAGCCATGTGTGGACTGGAAACACAGCAGCAGGGAAAGAAGAATGCCTGCAGTCTTCTCAACAAGGAGGTCTGAGCCCCAGCTTCGGTGGCATGACTACAGCTCCACACTAACACCTGGACCTTATTACCTTCAGGGTTCTGCAGTTTGGGAAAGCTTTAGATGCATAAGCACTTGGTGATAATTCCATGTCAGTCAACAGTTTGGGCTGATTCTCTCTTCATTTCCCTCCCATTCAACCACACAATTTTTTTTACTACATAAGGTATCTTGATTGTTCTTAAGCGAATTTTCATTCTAGCCTCAAATTTTAAAGTAATTTACAGTAAATCAACTAGTAATATTTGCCCCATCTTTCCCTTCTTCATGGATTATTATATTATAATGTCAAACAAATGGGTTATTTATTTATTTTTTATTACTATGTATTGACATTCTCAGCAGTGCAATGCTAAATAAATATTGTTTGCTTTAACTTGGTTAGAACAAGTACATTACATAGAGTATGTGTAATTATTGTAGGTCACAAGAATTGGAAATATAGCTATACAAAGGGTATTCAAAAAGTTCATGAAAATATTTGTATTATCCTTTATTTTTCTTTTATTTCTATTTTTCCACAAACTTTCTGAAGTACCCTCATATCTTGGTTTCTCTCTTTATTTCCTTAACTTAGTTCCCATTCTTTTTTCATCATGAAGTGTTTGGTATTCTGCTGTCTCATTTGCTTGAACTTTCATAATGAATATGATCATTTGCCATGTTCTGCTAATAAAAACACCTAATACGTTTCTGTACATATAAATGTTGGATTTTTTTTCCTTTTTATATTTTCTTTTACTCCTTGTCTCACACCTTGAAAGTGGAAATTTATGGAGATGAGAGAAACTGAAGAAATGAAGGGATTGCTTCAAATTGTATATATGCATGAGAAATTTATGTCAACAAGCCAAAATTTTGATGACAGAAAGTTTCTAGAAAACAAATTAATGCAGGTTGGGACAGAGTTCATCTGGCAGTATCAGGATGTTTGCATGTGAAGAAGAGCTAGGAGGAAAATATGGGTATATGCATCAAGCAGACAGTTCAGTGAGTTTGGTCAGGTCCGGGTGATTTGCAAGGAATCTTCCGAGTTCTGCATCTCTAAGAATGGCCTATGCACATGACAAAATGTGTTCCATTCTATTAGATTTTTCTCTCTTAGATACCAGTTTTGGAAGTGATCCAGTCCCGGAAGGCAGTCACTCTAGTATAAACACCAGGCTTATTGGGTTGCCCGCATTCATCTCCCCAGCTCACTATTCCAGCAAGGTACCAGATATCTCTAGCATCTGAACTAACCAGTGGTCCTCCAGAGTCACCCTAAAGAAGAAGGGAGAAATTAGTAGTTCACAGTACAGTTTATTATGGAGGGGCAGTTTTCAAAAGTCTTCAGCTTGTTCAAACACAGAAGTGATTACCTGCATCTATCAGTAATCCACAAAAAGAAGTAGTTCCAGTACCCGGAGAATTGGGTTAGCTTCAGGGTTCAGTACACTGAGATTGTAAGTTCTGTCTCTTTGGAGAACAGTACTCTTAACTTATCTGGTACATCTGACACAATAATTCCCTGTACTGGTTACCTCTTTATTAGTGTGACATAACACCCAAAATGAAGGGTGAAGAGTCTATTATTGATAAACAGCACAAACATTAGAGTCAGATACCTGGGTTTCTATCTCAAGTTTGACCCTTCCAAGCTAGCTATGACCTTTAATTTACTTATTTGTAAATGCTCCTAATAATACTTACCTACAGTGATTATTATGAAGATTTTGTAAGACAGTGAACATAAAGGCTTAGCCCAGCACAAAATAGAACTTAGGAAATATAAATATTAAACTACAAATTCCAATTGTTTATATATTACAAATTCCAGAGGTCTGTTTCTTTATACAGGTCATAAGAACAATGTAGTGGCTGATCATTCCTCAAGATCCTGAACCTCTAGTTATTGACCACATATTAAGTGTTTAGCACTCTATGACATTCTTAATTGATTAACATGTTATCTCACTAATACATGTTATTCTTGCAACAAAACAGAAGTTTTATTTTCTCCAGTTTAGCATAAGAAATGAAACTCCATGAAATTAGCTGGAGATCACATGCTAGTCAGTGGCAGAACTTAAATTTGAATTCAACTCTGAAGCTGATGCTTTTTTCCCTACATTATAATAACATTTTTGTGACTTTTCTTTTGCCTGTTAAAAAATATTAACTAATATTAATAATAATAAAATTTGACATCACATATTTGTAATTTTAAAATCAATTAATCAAAAAGCATTTTCTGAGATCCTCACATGTGGTAGGAGATATATAAAAGGGGTAAACACATGGGTCTTACCCTCAAGGAGCCTACAATCTGCTTAAAGAAATAAGATGCATCATCTGAAGCTATTTGAAAGTAAATAATTGAAACCCAAGCCGATATGCAGGTAGAGCAGATTAGGATGAAGAAATAGAAGCTGCCGGAGACAACAAAGCTTAAATCAGCTTAAGAGATAGGAGCAAGAGTCTGAGAATAAGTAAAATAATTTTTAAAAAGAGATAGCAATGTCTCTAACATCATTACAAACTGAATAGTAAGGTAATGTCCAGCAAATATCAAGTAGAGAAAGGTATAGGGTCTTTTCTACTAACACTATTAGCTCATATGTGATTGGTGAATAGGGGAGTTACGCTGGTACAAGATAGACATTTTGATGATTTATATGTGTTTTTTCTTAGGCAGGAGAATCAGAATAATGGGAGTAGAATTATCATCTTCACAAAGAAAGGAAAAAACTCTCAACTCAGCTACTGCACAGGCAGAAGCCTTTGGAGTTCTAGTTTAAGCAAATATTTACCCGAGAGCTGCACCCCAGCCTTGCGTAGCTCTTGGTCCTAGCAGGTTGCACTTCCTCCTCTGCTCAGGGCTGCACTTCCATGTATACTGTCTCCGTTTCTGGAAGCCTGTGTTTCACTCCATTGTTCCTGCGTGTTTTTAATGTCTCCTGAGTCAGCCACCAGTCCCTGATCATTCTGCCTGCCTACACTGTCCAAGTTATTCTTCAAGGTATAAATCATTGTTTTTGTTAATTATCCCGTTACAAAGTTGCACAGCCTTTGAGGGATCCATCAATCTGTCTCTAACCCTATTTTCCCTACAAATCCTGTTATTTTTAGTGAGTGGTTTAGTGAGAAACAGAACAGGAAGTTTATTCAGGAATGAACATATAACAACAGAAACTTCTCAAAGTACACGTATGAAGCCAAACTAGGAAGTAACTGTAGTATTAAGACACAGAATACTGAAGAACTAGGTTAGGGTGTCAACAGAAGGAATAAAGACAAAAGAGATAAATCTGAAAGATATGGTAAAGGGGGAAAACGTTCTGGGACTTAACTGATTACATGTGAAGGAGATGTAAGAGTAAAAGACTCCAAGAATAGTGAACCCCAATAACACTAATGAGAAACATTAAAATGGAAAACGAGTTAACATTTTGTGACTCCTATTGAGTTTGAGATGGCACATATACAGAGCTGTGTCTGATGCTAACAACTTGAAACTTGTAATGGAATTTGGAGTAGATGAAACGTGAGACTAAATGTGGACAAGAGCTTAATTCTGGAGATGTAGATTCAGTAGTCATAAATGTGGCGGCTGAGTTCAAAGAAAAAAATGGCTCCTTTGAGTGAGAATTTAGAGAACAGAGAAAAATTTCACCTGAGTCTTGAGGCATATTCAGGCTTAGAGTGAAGGAGAGAAAGATAAACCAAAAGAAGAAATGAGAAATGAGTAGTTGGAGACGGAGGGGAGAAATCAGCATACTTCAGAATCATGGAATCCAAAAGAAAGGAAAGGATCATGTTTTAAGAAAGAAGAGGTAGCCCGATACCACTGAGAAGAGAGTAGGAAACCCAAGTAAAGATTTCTGCATAGGGACCAGAAAAGAGGCAACCCCGGAAGACAGAAAACCTAGGAGGGAAGCAAAAGTCAAGTGGAGAGGCTTCCGTGCTTACCAGGCTGTCACGAGGCCCAGTCCTCCACCAGACTGGTGTCAGAAAGGCGGAGTGGGGAGCCGGACTTTCACTTCTGCTAGATGATAAGAAAAAGCCCTCCCTACCTCACCTGTAGTGACCAGGTGGGGAGCATGGACTGCCACCCAGTGGTGATGAAGCATAACTTTCCATCTCACTAGAGTGATTTAAGAGGAGACCTAGTGGGGAGTCGGACTTTGACGACTGTCAAGCAGTAATAAAACTGCCACTCCATGACAGTGGAGGTTGCAAGGGGAGCAGTAACAAGGTGCTCCCAGCCAGAGTGGTACCAGAGGAGGCCTGGTGGGAGCCTGAAATTTCATCTCCACCCAGTAATAATGAGGCACCAGTACCCCACCTGGTGTCAAAGGAAGATGAGTAGGAAATGAGGCAACGTCTTTCTATGCCTTCCTCCCCCACCAGGATGATGTCAGCAGAAGCCTGCTAAAACAGAAGATTTAAACAAGATCTAGAATCTCATAACATCCTGAATACATCTGAAAATCACTCATCGTACTAAAAACTGGGAAACTCTCATTGCCAGTGAGATGACATAGATGTTGGAATTATCTGACAAAGATTTTAAAGAAGCCATCACAAAAAATGCTTCAATGAGCAATTACCAACCACCATGTTTGAAATAAAATTTTTTAAAAAGGAAATCTCAGCAAAAAATTGTAGATATAAAGAAGAATCAAATAGAAATCTTCGGATTAAAAATACAGTAACCAGAATTTTAAAAAAACTCATTGGATAGGCTTATCAGAAGAATGGAGATAATAGAGGAAAGAGTCAGTGAATGTGAAGACAGAATGACAGAAATTATTTACTCTGCCTTTGGAGAAAATCGGGTGGGAAAAAAATGAACAGCTCAGGAACCAATAGGACTATAACAAAAGATTTAAATTCCTGTCATTAGAATCCCAGAGGACAGGAGAAAGAAGTTGGGGCTAAAAAAAATATTTGAAGAAATAGATGCTGAAACTTTCCCAAATTTGGCTGAAGATATAAACCTGCAGATTCAAAAAGCTGAACAAATCTCAAACAGGATTAACCCCCAAAAATCTACACGAAGTCACATAATTGAACTTCTGAAAACCAAAGACAAAGAAAAACTCTTGAACATAGCAAGAGAGAAAGACACATTTATTTACAAGAAAAAAAAATTCTTTTTTTGTTGTTGTTGTTGTTTTTGGAAAAAACAATTCTAACAATAGCATATTCCTCTCAGAAATCAGAGGTCATGATTTAAGTGCTGAAAGAAAAGAACTGTCAATCCCAAGTTCTATATCTGGCAAAATTATGCTTAGAAATAAATGGAAAACAGGATTTCTTAGACAAAGAAAAACTAAGAGAATATGTTACCAGCATATCTACACTAAAACAATGACTGACGGAACTTTCTGAAACAGAAAAGAAATGCTTTTAAAAAGGAGTCTTAGAAAATCAGGAAGGAAGAAAGGTTAAAACTATGAGTAAACTGACTTTCCTTCTTTTCTTGAGTTTTCTAAGTTCTGTTTGGCAACTGAAGCAGAACATTGTTTGATGTGGTTCTCAAAATAAGGAGGAAATATGTAATACTATAAACCAGCAAGGCTAAAGAGACTTAGGAAGTAAATTCTCTACTCTATGCTCCATTCAAACTAGTAAAATGTCAGCACCAATAGACTGTGATAAGTTGTCTATAAATAACTTATAGGAACAACTAAAATTTTTCCATAAAGAACTTGTCAAAAACACTAACATATAAATCAAAATGGAATCCTTAAAAAAGTTACTATATGATTCTATTTATGTAACATCCTGGAAATTCTTTAAAAATTATAGAAATTGAGAACATATTAGTGATGGCCAGATGTTAGGAACGTAGATGGGAATGAGAGGGTGTTACTATAAGGCAGATCTTGTGGTGATGGAATAGTTCTCCCTCTGATCTGCAGTGGTGGTTAAAGAAATTTGCACATGCAGCAAAAAGCCATAGACACACACATTGTGCCAATGTCAATTTCCTAGATTTTATATTGTACTGTATTCATATGAGATATAACAACTGGGGAAAACTAGGTAAAGGGTACGTGGAATCTCTCTCTGTACTATTTTTGCAACTTCCATAACTTTTTTTAAAAAAACGAACAATTATTCATCATACTAATAGGCAAAACAACTTACCTGACATGCATCTCTTTTTCCTCTCAAGGAGCCAGCACATAACATTCTAGGGGTTATAGCATCATTATAAACTTGAGGTTCATTGCAGGTTTTAGTGTCTATGAGCTCCACTTGCACTTGCCGAAGGTGATTTTGACTGCTACCTAAAGGGAAAAAATAACATTTGGATTTGTAGATGTACTTATGTTTTGTAAACCTGATGAAACTTTTTTGTAATTATTGGACAAGATGATGATGTAGAACCTTAGAATACGTATTTTTTAGACACAGTAATTTGGAAAAAGAATTCTTTCCCAACTACTTTAAATGGAAATTGAGATGCCTAGGAAAGAACCTCCGATTAACTAATTTTCAATCCACTGATAAGCATAGAGAGAAGTTTCATTTGGGGAGAATTGTGGCTTTATGATTCTTTGATTCATTATTGGGTGTATTAATGATCCCAAATGTTTTTAAGTGGCTAGGAGACATATTTGCACTTTCAGACCCCTTACCAGCACAGTAAGGTGCTGTAGTAGCAGTGATGTACCTAATAGAAATCTAAGGCAGGAACGAATTTATGTCTTCTAAATGACTTAGTTCACTCATTGGGCCTGACTTGGCCTAGGCCGATATGACCAAACAACCAACGTATTTTGGCACAAAAGCATTCCATTCTTTACATGCCTTAGAATACCAAATTAGATTAATAAGATTTGAATTTCTCTTTAGATGCTCACCATCATTTTGCCGTGCTCCAAATCCTGTCACAAACATCTCATCACCTGGGTGGAACTCATAGGAGGCATCAGGGAGGCAAATTCTATGTACTGCATTTGTGTAGGGGACAGGGCTAGAAAGCTCTGCAAGTGAGATATCATAGTCATGTGATGGATATTTGTATTTTTCGTGAACAATTATCCTCCGGAGGCCATGTTTCATTTTTGGAGGGTTTATTGTGACTCCAAAGGAAGCAGTCCACCTGGCTGGGTCTTTATACCTGGAAAAAAAATAAAAAGAAGAAATTCCAGTTACCAGTAATTTACTGTATATTAAGTAATTTAGATTGTAAGTATCAATTAAAATTATAGTTTCTGTGTATAGAAACAAATTCTTTCCAATCTGAGAATCAGGCTCAGGGTTCAAATAATGTGGAAAAGCCACACAGTGCATTTCTAGGACATATGTGCCACTACACATACCAAGTCACCCATTCCAGATCCTAGGGCTTTTTGACATTTTGGGTTATCAGTGACTTTAAAAGACATGTGGGAAGAATATCCTGTACAGATTGAGGAAACTAAATGTATTCTATGTGCCTTATGTCCCCTACCCACAAACATACACATTTCTCTGAAAACTGTAAAGACCACATGTTAATTTAACAAAGCATTAAAATTCTATATACTTACAGACATTTGATACTAGGTTGAAAGGTCCTCCATTTCTTGTAATACAACTAGTCAACCTATTCAGTTGTATAATTTGCTACTTCCAAACTTCTTCATACTTAATTATCTTTTTTACTATATGTGGAATTTCCCCATTGGGGTCAAAACTACAGTCTACCCAGCCTAATGGAAGTACTCAGAGGAGAGATACGGCTCTTCTCTTTGACGTCAAGCTCAAAGTCTAAAGATGACTTTAAAATTCCCGCTTTCTTTGAAAAACTATTATATATTTACCAATGAATAATTTATCTGCATGTACTTTGACTCCATTTCCATTTCCAGACTATAGCACCTTTTACTAAGGTTTATGAGTTTCTCACACTCTCTGTGATGTACACATTATCTTTAAGTTATGCTAAACTCATCTCTTTCAGAATTCAGGAGGAAATTTCTTCTTGCCAAAACTAGGCACATTGTGTACCTCCCAATCACTTGTGAAGTTCAAGACTTACATTCTAAAGCAGTGAGCAGCACTCACGAGCCATGTGCCATTAATTAAAGTTGCTCCACAGCGGTGGATCCCATCCCATTGCAGGCTGGCCTGCCATGGCCATTCACCCTCTTCTACCTCTGTTCCACCAACAATCCTGAGACTCTGTCCTGTAGATTTACTCCTTCGTGTCCCACAGCCTGCCAAAGGGAGATGATGTGTTAATTAGCAGTTATTTTAAGCACCAATTTGTGCTTCTATGTCCCAAATTTCTTGTACTTTGTGCTCCAGTAGTATCAAACATTTTGGCATGTTCCTACCTTGCCATAAATTTTAATGTTTCATTTAGTTAACTCATTCATCTTGTAAGATTCAAATCAGTCGTTACCTCTTCTAGGATGCCTTCTCTAACAATTCTCCTGCTTTCTTGTTGCTTCCATAATGATAATAATAACAGCAGTACACACTCTCTCCATACATGTATGTTTGTGCGTGTGTGTGTGCATTCCTCAATATTGTTTAAAACAGGGTTTCTCAATCTTAGTACCACTGACATTTTGAACCACATACTCATAATACTTTGTGGTGGCTCAGGACGAGAGTGTCCTGTGCATCACAGGATGTTCAGTAGGATCCCTGGCCTATACCTACTAGATGCCAGTATCACCCCCACCCTTACAATCATGACAAAAATACCACAGTGGGGCATGATACCTTGGGCATCCAAATTGACCTTGGTTGAAAACTTTATTTTAGAATTACGAGTTCCTGCATTAGCCTCATGCAGCTAGTCTCATTATAGTATGATCTGCTTTAGGAAGGAATTATATCTTATCAATTTTGTATACTTATTGCCTTACACAGTACAAGTACATAGTAGATTACCAATAAATATGGCAAGAATATATGACATTTAGGTAATGAGATTATCTTTTGGTTTCATGTTTACTTAAGTTTATCAATTAACCAACATTCTGAGCTAGTACATTTCCTTCCATCGTTCAAGATAAATGTAATATGTACTAATTCCATAACTATTAAATGTATTCTCTAAATCATGGTGGGGTACTCCGCTATAGGTAAATGACATGCTAATCTTAGAGTCAGCCTTTTTAAAATATGGGTAAGGACATTATCCGGATCGTCAGTAATTTTATCAAAATATTCCCTAACCCCATAATTTCCTGTAATTTCTATAATATGGGATTAATAGCATCAAGAAAATTTTATTTAGGGTGGCATGACAGTAAGTTTCTGCCTCTAGCTGAAAAACACCAATGTACAGATTGCTTTTATATAATCTTTAGAAAACTTTTGTGAGAGTATATTAAAGGTATCTGCAAACAGAACATTGATAAGCATTTTTTGTCTTCTCTTTAACAATTACACAACTCGTTTCCGATATCCATCTGCCACAGATACACATACATCCACTCCAAAATTCTCCCAATTTTGCTATTCTTTACTAACATGGCATGCCTCAGAGCTGAGATAAAGCACCATGAGTTGTGCACAAATCAATCAAACTTTATTCTGTCCTTATAATATCAACACAAAGTAAGCCTAAGTGATCTAAAGTATTACCTTTTTACATTCAGTTAAGACAATTTTAATAGGTATATTAAACTTACAATTGTTCAGATAGTTGTCTGTTTCTGTCTTGTTGATTTCTGAAATACAGGAATGGTTAATAAAACAGGGTCAATACATCAGAATTGTAGTATACCTGAGTATTTCAAATACTAAAAGGGTGCTTAATTTGATTATAAGATAGGATCTTTAGGTTATAAAGAAAGCAGCACAGTTAGTTTGTCATGAACATAGCATGTTCATCGCCTTGGGGAGGAGGAGAGACATGAACATTGTTCCTTAAACTTTAATGTGGATAAGGGTCACATATGGAGCCTATTTATAAAGTAAACTCCAATTCGCCTTCCCAGAAATTCTTTTTTTTTTTTTTTTTTTGTTTTTTTGTTTTTTTTCCGTGT